TTTTTTATGATTATTATTAAACAATATAAATTTATTATATGCAATATATGTATAGGCTACATTTAAAGTGACATACCTGGGCAAAATAGAGTCGCACTTCCCTGCCGTTGAAGTCACTGTTGTGCAGTTTTGCTCTTGCCTCTGCAGCAGCCAGAGCATTGGTGAAGTTAATTCTCACCCGACGAAAACTCTTAAAGAACTGGAAGGTGACGTTTCGGTCGAAGGCACGGAACAGGTCCTCAAAACTTGCCTGTGGATGAGAGGAAACATCTCAAATGAATACATTTCACTTTATATCTTCATGGAAGCAGAAATTAAGAAAGGAATATTTTGCATGTGACTCAGGAGTACACAAATTCCCTGTGGAGCAAGGTTTTAAGTGTGCCCCCATTTAGGCTCAGAGTCAGACTGGCAACCTTTCTAACCAGCCTTAAGCCTAAACCACTACATTACCCACCACCCTGTGGTGAGCCTGCGCTCGTAATGCATTATAGTGCCGAATCCATTTAGCTTGTTTTGGGGGATGCTGCCAGATTGATATTCAGTAAACGCTTCTATATTAAACCGTACTGACGCACATAGTACTAATCTAATACACATCCTAAAAATGACCACGTCTGTCAGTGCTCAGCAAGATATTGGTTTCCAAGATAACAGAGACTTACTGCATGCTGTGAACACACAGACGGACCTGACAGAAAGAGTCCTGATGGACCATTTCAAGCTATGCAGAGATTTAAAAGAGTATGATCCACACATCCTGGGTTATTCCTATTGTGCATTGGTGTTGTGTGCATAAGAGCTTATGTCAGATACAAAAACCTCAAATTGTCCTGCCAAATGCTCATTAAATGTTCCCACAGCATCTTATTCCATGACCTAACCACTACTACCACAAACAACCAACTAGATCATTAGCTAAATACATATATCATACCAGGGGCGTAGATTACGCAGGGGACGTGTCCCCCCCTCCACCCCCCACTCCCCACTTTTAATATCACGTAAATTCGTCCCCCGCACTTTTTCGGGCAAGTGCGTTTGCATAGAGGTTTTCAAGAGCCGGTGTGAATAAATATAGATTTAAATTCAAAGAGACAGGATAGTCTGTGCATGATCTGATGTTTTATTCGGACCCATAATAAGGCAAGATGAACATCAAGGAGCGCTAAACATTCCGTGCAATGTATGTTTCATTCATACTCGAAGCCGGAGGGCGCTCTCGCGCAGAAAGTCGTACGAGGAAATTCCTAATATGGACAAAAGCGTCCAGCTATCGCTGTATGAAAACAGCTGTTTTCAGAAAAACAGAAACGTTTGGAAATATTAAGACATTAAACATACGATTGCGACAATATGGTTTATTTGTGCTTGTCAAGTCATCTCCAGGTAATAAATAAAGTATATGAACAATGCAGTGCTAACTGACATAGCATTTATTACAGTATAGAAACTATTCTGCCTTATTATGTGATAAAAAAAAGTGTTTGTAGTATATAAGCAAATCATTATTATTGGTTATTGTCCAGCAGTTATCTGATTTCTAAGCCAATTAAAAGCTAGAAATGAGAGAAAAATTTAAGTTGACTATACACTACCAGTCAAAGGTTTTTGAACAGTAAGATTTTTACTGTTTTTTAAAGAAGTCTCTTCTGTTCACCAAGCCTGCATTTATTTGATCCAAAGTACAGCAAAACAGTAACATTTTGAACTATTTTTACTAGGCTATTTAAAATAACTAAAATTTTCTATTTGAATATATTTTAAAATGTAATTTATTGTGATTTCAAAGCAAAATTTTTAGCATCATTACTCCAGTCACACGATCCTTCAGGAATCGTTCTGATATTCTGATTTGATTCTCAAAAAACATTTATTATTATTATGTTGAAAACAGCTGAGTAGAATTTTTTCAGGTTTCTTTGATG